TAAGATAAGAGGAGTTGAGAATGTGTCGCTGGTAATAATGTGAAGAAGTGATGTGTCTTACTGCATGTAATAAGGTTGGGGAATACAGAGACGGATGAACTTACCTTCAGTTGCTGGGGGCGAATGTTGGTGATAAGCCCTTTGCGTTCGAGTACTTGTGCAACAGTCGTTTGAAGAATTCAATTGGTGTGGCTGTGGCCACTTTCTTCGACAGAGCGTTCCATAACCTATATACTGTGAGAAGTTTGATCTCACCCCTGTCTTTGCCCTACGGTGGGGTGTGGGAGTAGGGTTCCCGCGAGACTGTTGGTTTTGGGCCAATAATGTTGCAAACGATGGATGATCATGTAAACTGTCATTAGATTGCTTCTTTTCCTTCTATAGTCTAGTGCGAGTTTATTCCTACTTATTTGTAGGAATGATATTTGTTAATGCCGGCAGTGAGAAAGTCCGCGGTTCTAATTTATATGCTTTTTGGTTCACAACCAGGACAAAAATAGGGCAGAGGTAAAGGATAGTGATCTGAAATTGGTAAACTGGCTTGCCAGCTAACATTAAAATACCAGTTTGTACCAACTAACGATCATTGTTCATATCAAAAGAAGTTAAGAGAGATATGTAAAGTCGCAATAATCAGTAATTAAACTTCAAAATGAGCAAAATATTTGAGCAGGTTAGTTTCCACGAGCATGTTCAAAAGTATTCCAGTTTCACTCTAGAATGTAGGTGTCTCGTTGGAATAGTGGTACATGTATTTCTTTAGGTGGTCTACTTATCTGGTATATTCCATTGTTAAGACAGAAACCGGTCTTCAGTGTAGTGTTGCATTCCGTTAGCTGGGTCTGAACTATGAAGGATAGCCATGGAGGTAACCTAAAGAGGATAATTCAGAGTACATGAACGTTCGTTGCTGTCTATTTGATTTAGTCTTTATTAATTTGATACAACTGTTTTATTCATCACCTCAGTCAGCAACGTTACGGTGGTAAAGTCAGTGGTTAGGATTTGAAATCGCAATAGTGACATGGATCAGGACAAGAGATTTTTGCAACCTTCCCTCTCGTTTGGCTTCACTTTGTAATCATTCTTTTCAGTTTAACCCGCACTTGGCTTCACTTTTTAACTTAGGTTCACATTGTTTTATAGGGCTGTCCCATATTATTAAACCTACATGTCTTCACAAACATAAGGTGAAGGCTACACTATTAGACCAGAGAGCAAAATCACTTAGTGGGTTCTGTTCAAAACTATCATAATTAGAAGTAACGGTAGTCAGCTGCACTTGCAGGTTACCACTACTACACAGTTATCAGACATCGTTGGTGCCTAATATCCATTCTTCAGGGACACTCTTATCCTAACCTAACATGGACTTTAAACCAATTCGCAGTGGTCAAATGTCATGTGTACTGTCAACCATCTGCATTCATAGCGTAATGCACATTTATGGCCAAATGTGTCATTGTAACCTAACTGAACATCAAAAAATGGTTAGAGGGGATCAGTGGATCTCAAAAACTGCTTGTGAATTAATGTACGCAACCAAACACATTCATGCAGGCTTCGAGCCCATTGAAAAGCGGAAGTATCTCAAATATAGACTGATATAAAGTTTACTCACTAACTTTGAGTGGTGCGTAGTGACGTCTCAAGAAAAGGAAAAGGTCCCAACAATCGGTAGTAGACTGACCAAAGAAACTAGAATAAAAAATGTCGATGGTTAATGAGGTGGAGAACGATGGGTCTCATTCACTGTCAAGAGAGGCAACTGGGCTGATACACGAAACAGTTCGGTGAACGATTCAGCTGGCCTCTAGCTACTGTTCTGTTGCACGATGTCGAGTCAGATCCTGAGCGGAATATTAAAGTTGGCTTCCCAACTCTGACCTAAGTTGTGAAGGCCATAAATAGCTCTGAAACAACGACGAACAGCAGGGTCCGATAGACCGGTACCAGTAGTGATCAAGGGTTATTAACTGGGCTAACTGAAGTCTTAGCTAGCGTATAGCAATCAAAAATAATTCCTTTGAGCTGATCTCAATCACTGGTTATCCTAGTTTCTAAAAAGAGAGAAATCTCCCTGTGACAACCCCAGGAATGTAGTGTATAAGATATTAGGTCCTACAAACATTCAACGCCCAAGAGAAACTCAGGAATAGAGAAACCGAGAAGACCAGGCAGGTTTCAGATCTAGTCGGGGTGTGCCGACCAGGTATTCACCCTTGAAATGGTGGAGAATATTTGCAGCTCAGATTCACGATCTTGGTTGTATTGTGTTCTTTGAGCTGGATGGATATTCATCCTAAATCAGGTCTTGGAATAGATATAACTACTGGCGCTCGACACTAGCTATTTCTTGACCTGGAGGCGACTTTGAACCCCGTTGATTGAGTGGTTTTACAACTCTTAAGTGGAAAATGTTGCCGGGCAAGTACATCACACTGTGAAAGGCTCTGTCTTCGAACACCCCACGGCATATTAAATCCTATGATGAGTCACCAGGTGGGTTGTGTATATCGGTTGGTGTCCAGTTAGTTCATTCCTACTTAGTCTCGTTATAGACGTACTTATGGAGGTCCGTGTGGTTTGCTTTTAGAGATTGATCGCCACAGAAGACTCTTCAGTAGACTCAGAGTACTCAAGCGACATGGTTTTGTTAGTTGAAGATGATTGCAGGACTCAGTCTTCTGGATACAGAATGGTTGAAATGGATTTCTCATCGTTCTGACGCAAGTTGTTGCTCCAGGACTGATCAGGATGGATGCTCCATCTAACAATAGGGAGTGATGTGGTTGATCGTGTTGGCCATTTCAACTACTTAGGAAGTCAAATCTGTCTTGGTGGGTCAGTGACCGACGAATTCTCGTCACATGCACTAAAAGCTCGCGTAGCTTTCGGTAACTTATCAGATCGGCGTGATCAATTTTTTATTTAGGTCTTAGTTAGCAATGTAGTCGAAAGGAGCAAAATGCTTGAGAGTAAAAACATCCCCAACAAAAGTGAAAGACATGAAGAGGCTTCAGGTATTCAACTACTATTGTCTCCACGGCACAAGCCATCAGTTGTGGTATCACTTCCCCAGTACTGTAAAAGTTAGGCGTAGAGTTTTAAGCAAAAGAGAAATGATGGTTAGTGAGGTTGTGAATCTTCATCTACTGGGTTAGCGATACTCATACCCAGTCACCGTCTACCTCAGCGCTCAGTGTTGTGTGAAATAGGTTTAAAGTGGAAAAGGTTTAGAGGTGGAAAGACTAAAGTAGCACAAGTTCATGACATTTCTGTCTCTTGGTCTGAGCTGTGTAGAGAAATGTAAACTTCGCTGTTTCGGTTAACATGACAATCAAAATCAGTAGTTTGCGCCACCTATGGCGCCGCCGTGATATTCGTTTGTCTATTAAGGGTCACGTGTACTGCACAGCAGTCCGCTCTGTTCTGCTGTATGGCTGTGAAACATGGCCATTGAAAGTGGAAGACATGAGAAGGTTACAGGTATTTGACCACCGTTGCCTTCGTAGTATAGGACGTATTCCGTGGTGTCACCATGTGAGTAATGCAGAAGTTAGGTGTAGAGTTTTGGGGAGAAGAGGTAAGTCAGTTGACGAGGTTACACAATGTTGGCTGAGGTGGGTCCAGGCTGGAAAAAGGCCCGAGGTGGCCAGACTAAAACATGGCACCAATGTATGAAGTCTCTGACTGTTGGTTTAAGCCATGTAGGACGATGCAGGCTAGGTGGTTGGGGTCCACGGGACAGGAGAAACCAGTGGTTGGAGACCGTAGGTGATATGGCTCAGAACCGAAGTCAGTGGCGCAGATGTATACACACATTATCCTCATCTTAACTACACTATACCGAATCTCACCATTTTGTCACTCCTCTTTCCTTTCTTCTCGTACTTTATATTTCTTTTGACTGCATTCACTTATCTTCATCCTTCGCCTCACTACCTTTTTACTTGATGTGCTGATATGAGGTATGGCAACTCGGACCGTTACGCAGTAATGCCTGGTCCTATGTTGATAATGATGATGATGATGAGTTGGAGGCCTAATATTTGGCTGAAAATCGATCTCATTATATCAGAGGCATCCACACATCATCTTCATTATCCTGCCAAATTTTATTGTTCCGTCCTTTTTTCTCGTTAACTACTTCACACTGCTGTTACTCTTTTCTCTCGTCTTGTTCCATTGTATCCTGATGAACTGAAATGAGGTGTTGTCATTTGATCTATTACTTAGTGATGCCAGGTTCCCTTGATGATGCTGACTAGCTAGGAATCATTGATTGCGGTCAGCTCGTGACTAGGTTTAAAGTCAATCATAATATTTCGGATACATACATTTGTTGTCGTTCTGTAGGTATGAATACGTACTTCTCACCTGCGAATCGAGGTGGCCAGACTAAAACACGCCACCAATGTATGAAGTCATTGGCTGTTGGTTTAAGCCATATGGGGTGATGCAGATTAGCTGGTTGGGGTCCACGGGACAAGAGAAACCAGTGTTGGAGACTCTAGGTGATTTTGTTCAGAACCGATGTCAGTGGCGCAGATGTATGCATACATTATCCTCATCTTAGCGACGCTATACCGAATCTCACCATTTTCTCATTCTTCCTTTCTCTCTTTGAGTACATTGTATTTGTTTTTGATTGAATTTTCTTTTCTCCATCTTCCACTTCACTGCCTTTTTACTTGATGTAGTGATATGACGTGTAGTAACTCGGACCGTTACGCAGTAATGCCTGGGTCTGTGTTGATTTTGATGATAGTGATGATTACCTGCGAATGCCTTTCATATATATTTCCAATATTTTTCCTGTATTGTGGCACTGGACACTTTCACAGCTTAAATTAGTATACCTCTATAATCGATTCTACTTCGGTTTGTCTGTTTACTCATAACATTTGATCTGTTTTCGGTAACGGATAGCGTTTCATGAATTGTATTCAACCACTTTCTTTCGTCTTTTTAACAGTAATCAGTAAATCGTGCATGACATGGTGTCCGGGAAAGATCCGAATACTGTGGACACACAAGACCCTGTAAAAAGTACAGTCCCGAATTATGGATATTCTCTGCGTAAAGGTGATTTTGCGCAAAGACCCATGTCCATGAAAAAGTTTCTTGAACCCTTCGACCACAGCAGCTTGACAAATACGGAAGCTGGGGAAAAATATGCAGCCTACAAAGCCAGTTTTATTCGTCAGCAGCTGGAGGAATTTTTCGAGCGAAATAAAGCACATGCATGGTATGTATTTGACATATATGTACGTAAATGGATTTCAACACTAGTAGGGTTGGTATGTTCTCGAGGTATTTTAGAGTTTTGGATGCAGATTAGATGTTTTTCGTCACATGCCAGTAAAGTGTATTCACAACTGCAATGTATCTCATGCCTCTGAATATTTAAACTTGGTTGTATCTAACTGTATTGAACGTTACCATAGTGAAAATCATAACGAGTCAACCCTGCGAGTACTTTTTATCTGATGAAACTTCTACTAATTTGATCCACGATTGTTGCGTTATAACTGTCCACCTAAAGTTGTATTTTATTTTTCTGAAATTTATTGCAACTGTCTTCCATCGTATAGCTGATATGTATGTAATTTGGGATACCATATTATGTTAATTACTTACTGTGAAATGTGGCAACTTAAACTAATGCACTTGTGTGCTATGTTCTGCGTTGATTTCTCTGTCATGTTAAGCAGCTACCGTTTTCTGTACATGTTTTAGTGAGTTGCATTCAACATTCACTTACGGATTACGTAGTCTTTTGGTGTGTTGCGTTTTTATCTTTTCATTTTAACTTATAATGATGAATGATATTTCTAAGGAGATAGCTCACATTAGATTTGGTATATCTGTCATTTATTATGAGAGAGAGGAGAGATCGGCTCAGCAACCTTGCGCACAATCGTGCATTAGACAATAAGCCACATCCATTCTGTAAGGGCTCATGATACTACCTGGCTATGCAAGTCTCGGTAAGTGGTGTTCGAACCCTTGCCCCACTGGTTGGAATCAGCTCCCTAGACCATTGAGCCATAGGTCGCTCATTTGTTATAGAAACAATATACTGTCTTCTGCATCACATACAATCCTTCTCCGAAGGACAGGATAATGTTCAACCACTACTGCATTCAACTAATTATTACTTTATTTAGTGGCATCCTTATAGTTCATTTGGCTGATATTTTGTCTATGTTCTCCCAACTTGGCCTTTTATCTGCAAAAAGGTGAAAGTCAGTCAACTTCGTCAGAGTGTAAAGCTGTTGGATTTAGATGTGTGAGACTCAAATGTGATTACTTATGCGGTACAAAGCTGATTAACGATTCGATGAAGTTTTACTAATGTGTAACTACAAATTGACATCTCAAGATATAGTAGTCATAAGTAAAGATTAGAGAATAGTAGTATCTAAACATTCGACTCTGTAGGTAATTAAAATTTAATTAACAGTTCTTGTCTCGTTTATCCTAGATTATGTAGTTTCCAATTTGTTAAAGTCGCATGGAATATGTGACGGACAAATTTACAATTCCTTATTCACTTCCATCACTCTTGTCGAATTCAGGTTTCGTGAAAAATACCATCCAGACTATTGTACAGAATTATCATCTTGTACGAAGTTATTTGAAAAACGTTTAGAAATTTTCATGGAATTCTATAAGAATGGCTATCTTAACAATCTACATTTAACCAGTGGTTATGAAAGTGAAATTGTTCGTCTGTTAGATATGGGTAAGTGATGTATTCCCAAAACTTTTTGACATTTTATCATGTCTTAATTTATTAACTGTGAACAAATAACTCTAAATATAGTTTTCGTTATTACGGGCTGGTGGCATCTTTTATTGCATTTTTTGGACTCTTAGATACTGTGTATCGACAGACTCTTTTCGAATCGCACCAAGCACTTTGCAATCTACTAGCTAAAATCTTTTTATGTTCCATTCGGAAGTTCCTGATTATTATGGATTTTAAAATTAGGAGAAAATAGGTGTGTAGTTTTTATATATGTTTCAGCATTTTCCAGTTCATTTCAATACGGATCGAATCGATATGCACTGACTGACAAAATCAACGTCGAACCTCGCACACAACTGTATGGACTCAGGTTGCCACACTTGACATTAGTGCATAAAGAAAGGGTGGATAGAAAAGGAGCGACATCAAAGTAGACAGAGTAATGTGTGAGAATAAAAAAAGCTGAAGATAAAGGTGAGTGGAAATATTCAAGCTATAGATGATATGAAGGAGTGAATACATGTGCGCCATTTTGACTGATTTTCAGCGATGTCACTAAGAGTCCTCAACCACTGATTTCTTTCGTGTCTCGGGAACTCCATGAAGGTAGTTAATGTCTCCGCACATGACTCAGACCAACAGTCAGAGCTTTGTGGACTGGTGGCCTGTCTTGTTCTGACTGCCCTAAACGCTGTTCCAACCTAAGCCAACTTTCTGTAGCATGGCTGTGTGAAGTAGGCGGTGACAGAGGAGCATGCTCAGTACATGTGTAAGCCATTTCAGTTGATTAAGATTCGCAACCTTGTCAATCGACTTGACTATCTTGCCTGACCTCAACATTGGACATACGAAGAAGTGCGCTCAGCAACCGTATGCGCGTTCGTACAGTAGGCAATATGTTAGAATTATTATGTAAAGGGTGCTGATGCTACCTGTTTGCTTAAACACTGATATGTGGAGCGGGGTTCAAACCCAGAACCCATTATTTGGTCGTTCCTATACCGGTGAACCACAGCCCACTATTTCAATACCAAGTATAATCATTTCAAATGGAGTTGGGTTAGAAAAAAAACAAGGTTGAACAGATGGAAACTTGACATCAGTGCATAAAGTTTCTGATCGTTGGTTAGAGTTATTTTGGGAAATATATAGGCTTCGCGTTTAGCTTCGTGTGAAAACCGAAATCGATGGTTGGAGAATGTAGGTAATATGGCTGAGAATCGACCTCAATGTTGGAAATATATCTACACATTATTTCCATCCTTATCGTTGTAACCACCTTTCGTTATTGGATTTAATTGTCTTATGGCTTCCTACAAGTCTCGACGATATTCCATTTCTTTGTTTTTCCTATTGTTTTTTCTAACATCTTCATGTGCTGATATAAGGTGTGGTAACTTGGAATGTTACTCAGTAATACCAGGTCCCAAATTTATATTGACTGACTGAGATCTGGAGTTGCCGAGTCACGTCGCTTGAACCCGATCTAGAGGTTCGTAATCCACCAGCAGATGGTAGAATAAAACAAACACCTCTCGTCTAACCACCTCTCGCTTCTAACTAGTCTTCAGTGTTACCGAGCAGTGGACGGTATAGAGGTTGCTGAGAGGAGCAACAAAAGCATAGCAGTGAAATGATGGTGGTATATCAGTAGTCAGTAGTTAATTTCTTGGTTTGAGGCTTCATTAGTAGAGAACCAAGCGTGTAGGAAATCTGATGCCTTCATTCCGGTGTTATATCACCATGAGTTGTTTGAAACCTGGGATATTGTCCGAGCACTCAGAAATAAGCAGACAGTTGTTTTAGTGGGTCATTTCCTGAGTATTTAACGTGAAGTTTAATTCACATTGCATTCTCGTAGTTGTAGGTGACATGGTAAGGTTCGTATGCTATTCATTCCCTCTTTCCTGGAGCACATATTCCCTGCTTGTTTGGAATAAGAGCTTTTCAACCCCCCCCAAGTGTATCCTCTGAATCCATCAATCTGGTGATGTGCCGGATATCCGCTTTCATGTGAAGGCGGTGTATGGGTCCTCATTGGAAGAGGCTGTGAATACGTAACTATGAAAACATTTCATAATCGTGACCATAATTGGAGATTTAACGAACGATTCCTAACTGTAAGGTTTACTAAATAATAAATTAAATCTCATAAATGTTCACTTTGTAATGTTTATTCTCATCGAGATTTACTGGCTAACTTAGTCTTCCTTCATCGTTAAAAGTTGCAATCAAGCTTGCTGGTGGTACTGAGGAAGATTTCATTCTTTTGGATAAACTAAATGAAGATCAAAATTCGAATGATTTCAGTATGATTATCGAAGAGTCTAGTCATCAACAGGAGAGGAATTATGAAGCATCGAACAATGGGGTTCAGTCATCAGAAGTTCAACAGGCTCAACAAATTCAAAAGAACTCTGATAAAAAGCTTACAAAGAAAGCAGTTAGTTTTTTTATTTTTATTTTATAACCTAGTTCAAAGTATATATGTATCAGCTACTTTTTAGTTGGTAACTGCCATTGAATTCTGGCTTATCAAGTGTTGTTATGGGATACCCAAGATGCATATATTTCATAGGTTTCTGGTGTTTTTAATAGGATATCGTCCATGTATATTAACAGATAAGTACCTCAGAAAAGCTGTTTAAAGTATAACTTTTAACTTTCAGTCGTCAGCTTACTTCGACCTCGTCTATTTCTAATTGTTCTAAAATGATATCTACTATTGCTTATTAGTTAAAAGAGAAGATTGTTATACCTTTCACATTTACTTCGTAGTGGTACCTATAGTGTATTAGAGGGTACTAAAAAAGAGGAATAACTGAAATAACAGAATCATTCATAGTCTTAAAACGTCATACTTTTAGTTGCGAACCTCACAATATGTTCAAGCTATTAATAATTATCCATAGAGATGTTTAACATAAAATGGTTGCATTGGTTTGTCAGATATAATGTTCACTGATGTTAGGCTACTGTGTTTTTTGGTGATCTTCAGTATATGTGTCATCAGAATCACTATAATGACAAATTTTACGACAATAACTTGTCAGCTTCTATGCACAAAAGCGATAATCTACCTTGGAAGTGAGTGCATGAAAAATGCTTGACCAAATTGACAAGTTCCATAGACTTAAACTGATCACTCGACTTAGATTTATATCTTCTATTATTTTCAACGAAGTTTATTTTTTATACAGTAGACTATAAATTTTTGTGTGTTTTTCTTATTTTTAGAAGCCTAAAACAGGTTCAAAACAAAACTCAAAATCACAAAGCGAAAGGAGTCAAAAGTTGAGAAACCACTGCGTGATAAAGATGATGATGAAGAAGAAGAAGGTGAAGATAGTAGTTTAAGTGAGGATGAAGAAAGTAATAGTAGCGGAAGTGATAGTGCGAATAGTCATAGTAGAAGTTCTGATTCAAGTAGTAGTAGTAGTGATAGCAACAGCACTGGCAGTAGCAGTAGTGATAGCAGTGATGATGACAGTAGCAGTAGTAGTAACAGTGATGGTGAGAAGAAAAGAGAAAAGAGTAGCACTTCAGAAGGTAGCAGTGACAGTAGTGATGATGGGACAACAATTAAAAAACGAAGAAAGAAGCATTCCAAGATATCTAAGAAAGGTGTAAAGAGTGATGATCAGAATAATTCCAAAATTTCTTCTGCTACTCATCATAATCGTCGTCATCATCATCGTAGAAGTCATCATTCCAACGAACAAGAACAAGTTTTCACGTTTAGTTCCTCTGAAACTCAAGTCACGGCTTATCATAACCATCATCAGAGTGAGGATGAAAGCGGTAAAGTTCTTAGTGAAAAGAATATTGCATGTGAAAACATGCCACTTGACTCAGAAGAATCAAACAGAGTGCAAACAGTTAATTTGCAATCCAAACCATCAAATTCAATGGATGGTGATGATGATAACGGTAGTCCAAAACCCATGGATTTAGATGTTCCATCCGAAGACAAGCCAAGTGAAGGTCAACTTAGAGAATCAACAGTCAATGAACAAACACGTCGCCCTATTCATTATACTACTTTACTATTTCTACCACATATTCCATTCAACACTTTCAAACGAGATCTGGTTTCTGTAAGTTAATAGACATTTTTATTTTGTTTTTAAAGAAACCTGTCATAATCAACTGTAAAGAAAATAAGTTCCCATGCTTTTGAATAACACAAATGGTAGAAATCTACAAGACTCATATAATTATGGAATATTTAAGTAGTAGTCAATATGAAAGGATGAAAAATAAGTGAGAATGTTCAATTCTTCTTAGAATAAGGTGAATAGTGATTTCAGACCAGGACTCCTCTCTCTGACTTGCACCACCCAGTGACTCCATAGATTAGTGCTCATATGACTACGGTTAAACTCTAGCCTATACTTGTTTTAATAAGCGTTTCACTTTGTAGTAAATCTGTTGTTGAGCCTTCTACGTTTTAGCGATTTCATATTATTTTTCTTCAAGATGTCATCAGTCACTTCCATTAGTCAAGTCATATGTCTGAAACCTTGTCTGTTGCTTTTTGAAGTTATCTGTAATAAAGTAACTTAAGTGCTACCATCACACCAACAATGTGTCGCTCTGACAGAATTTCGTTTCGTTTCGTTTCGTTTACTCCGCCCAGTACTGTCAAAAGTCTTCATACAGTAAGCTTTGTACAAAAGTATGCAGTGGATTGAGTTTCACTAAATTTAATTAGAATAAATTTCTCATCCTTGTGATGAATTTCTCCACTGTTATCATGTCCTAATTTTAATCTCTAGAGGCAGCTGTTGTTTAAAATGATATGGTAACTGACTGACTAACGAAGTCAACGTCGAACCTCGTACATAGCTGTATCGACTCAAGTTGCCACACTTGACATTAGTACATAAAGAAAAGGTGGATAGAAAAGGAGCGACATCAAAGTAGACAGAGTAATGTGTGAGAATAAAAAAGCTGAAGATAAAGGTTAGTGGAAATATTCAAGCTATAAATGATGTGAAGGAGTGAATACATGTGCGCCATTTTGACTGATTTTCAGCGATGTCACTAAGAGTCCTCAACCACTGATTTCTTTCGTGTCTCGGGAACTCCATGAAGGTAGTTAATGTCTCCGCACATGACTCAGACCAACAGTCAGAGACTTTGTGGACTGGTGGCCTGTCTTGTTCTGACTGCCCTAAACGCTGTTCCAACCTAAGCCAACTTTCTGTAGCATGGCTGTGTGAAGTAGGCGGTGACAGAGGAGCATGCTCAGTACATGTGTAAGCCATTTCAGTTGATTAAGATTCGCAACCTTGTCAATCGACTTACCTATTTTGTCTAGTACCCTTCGCCTGACCTCTACATCGCTCACACGATGTTCCCACCAAACGCGAGCAGTGTTACGTAAACATCTGTAGTCGAAACCCTGTGACCGCCTCATGTCTTCTACTTTTAACGACCATGTCTCACAGCAATATAACAGGATAGAACGGACGGCAACGCAGTATACTTGTCTTTCGATAGGTAGTTGGATATATTAGCTATAGGCGCTACAGGTGAATCAAGTTGACGAATGGCAAACGGGCCTTCTATACTCGAGCTGAGATTTTGTCAGCGACCACCCAGTGCGGGATGATACAACTGCTCAAGTAAGTGAAGTCGTCGAAACATTCCATCAATTCACTGCCCATCACTAAACTGGAGGTTCTGGCAGAAGACCAGTCGTGAAGCATCGTTTTACATTTGACAGGTGCCAGCTGAACGCATACCAAACACTCTCAGATTTCTGTTCAGCGCGTTCAGAAGACGCTGCATTTTGTCAGCATCTTCACTCAGCAAGACAATATCGTCTGCATACTCCAAGTCAACCGGATGACCTCTCGGTGAAGTCAATGAAATTATGTCTATTAGTATGTCTGTAAGGAAGTTAAATAGAAATGGTGACAGTTGGCATCTCTGGCGCACACCCCTGGTTGTCGTCAATTCAGATGACAACTCTCCATAAACCCTGACACAGCTGCATGAGTTCGAGTAGAGAGCTTTCACAGTCAAACACTGCCACAATGCCTCATGGTCAACACAGTGAAATACCATCTTTATGTCAAAAAATATGGCAAGTGTCGGCTGCTGGTAAGTATAGTGTAGAGTTAGCTACCTTATTGTGGGATCTGCTTGTCAGCATTTCTTCTTTTGAAAAAATGTAGCTATTTAACCATGGGTATTATCATACATTTGACTGTGGATATTACTTAATAGCTATCTCTTCACGATGAGACATGAGTAATTCATATGTAATCTATTGTAACTGAACTTGGTACGTGTTGTATGTACTAGGCTATGATTATTGCTTGGTCGATCGGAATACAGTAGGTGGAGTGAGTTTCGAATCCGTGACCTATTGCTTGAAAGTTGGTTATTCAAGTCAACTAACCGTCACTGTAGTTATTGACATTGGTTCAGAGCAATGAATCAATGTTTGAAAATATAGTACCTAGATTTCTGAACCACATTACCACTCTTGTTTATTACTTTGGTAGTAGCATAAAACGATTATCTGATGTGGTAATATCCAATTAACTACTGATTTGTGTTCATGCATATGGTTCGCTGAGTTAGTCTTTGTTAAGAAGGTTAGAATGCAGCACATATCGTTAATGACATTAAACTATGATTAGGAGAATTTCGTCACGTTTACAACGCGTATCTATCATTCATTTTTTTCAACATTTACTTCAGTTAATTAATGAAGGTAAAAAAATACTGATGCTTTTTTTCAGATAAACATCTACCGTATGCTATCAGTTTGGTCCGTTTAATAAACCTTTGTATAACTTATGATTTATCGGTTTATATATTTTTGACTAAATAACCAATAGATCCGAAGTTCAAGCGCACTTCATTATGCTTTAGCCTAGACAACGGCTGGGATAATCTAAGAACCCTTACACTCATTATCTCAAGTAATTGACTGACTATCAAGCAACTATTTTTTTTATCCAAACCGCTTTCTTTTCATTTGAAAACTGGACAATTGGATAGTATCATAAGACTTCATACATTAAATTTTACTTAGCCTAGTACATAGACCCCTTACGACAAAGATGGGTGAGATTTTATCTTTGATTTACTTGTATTATCATACGATTTCACATATCTATTTATGATTGTTAGATTCAATTAAAGGAGTTAGATTCAGGTTGTTATTACTCTCCAGCTTTAATCGTTTGAAGTTGTATTAAACTTCAGAAGGAATCTCATTTTGAAATATCATTGTTCAAAAGAATTCAAGCTCAATCTAGGGTGACTGTAAAGGCCACTCTAGGAACGGATGAGACAACCAATGACATCCCTTTATTTTATGGAGAATTACTTTTCCAGGCGAAATACCGAAGACTGATTAGTCATTTCATCAGTTGCTAGGGTGGTCCTTTAAATCGCTCCTCAATCTATGAGTGTAACTCTCTTTATGCAGACAGAATTTTATTTCGGGATTGTATGCATGTACTTATTTCTGGTTTAGGGTGTGTTTCCCTTACCAATAAATCACTAGATCAGCTGTGATATTCAGCGTCTGATATATATATTGAAGTGAAAAGGCCCAACATTGGTCCTATCTACAGCTATTCAGCAAATTACTTAGGCTGATTTTAAAGGCTATCCCGGTAACTAGCTGCATGGACCAGTCGAAACTTTGGTATTTCACCTTGGAAAGTACTTTTTCATAAAATAAAGGAAACTAATTGGCTGTCTCAGCAGTGCGAGTCGGTCCTAAGGCTACGAACGTTACACCAGCTGAATCAGAGGGACGACGAAGTTGGGTGGCTAGCCGATACGAGTGACTTTAAAGGGCATCCTGTTAAGGTAACCAATTACTGTATTTTATGAAAAACTGCCTTCCCAAGCAAAATACTGAAACCTGATTTGTTATTTCAGTAGTTGGTAGGATGACTTTAGAGTCATTTGCCCACATAATACATACTTATTTGTATTTAGCAAAATATATGAAAAATGTACAAGACTCTGCAACCACTGCTACCTGTTATTATAAGCAGCCCCAATAACATTGGTTTAAATTTTCTCTACCTTGTTAAAATCAACACATCTGCGTATTTTCAAGAAGTACAGTAGTAGTGTGAACATACGTGATCAAGGTTAGAAACTGTTTGTCAGGCTTGTTTTTCAGTATGCGCATATGACCTTTATTTTATGAAGGCATATCAACTCAGTCATTTTATGTTCGCATTCACAGGGTTTGTTCTAGAAGCAGTGTATACCTTACCCAGCTCTGAATACCGACGTAAACAAGTGCTTTTTTACATCATTTCTTACTTGGAACCATCCACAGTGGCGCAATATTAGTAATAACTTTGTAGTTCTTACCATCTTAGTGACTTGCATTTTGTCTTATTTAGAACTTGTCAGCTAAATTTACATGTGCCTTAGTGTTGTTGTACCCACTGGGACTCGAATCCGGTACGCATCGCTTCAAACTCCAAGCGGTACCCACTGGGGCACGAGAGCCAAACAACTTTGTAGTTCGTCGACTCTAGCTCCGGAGTTTCTCAGCTGATTTATTACTAGTCAATTAACTGAAATACAATAAAGTGGTATGATTCTACCTACTTCTGTTTGAGCAATCATGTAGTCAGTCTTCACACAATGTTTATAGTATTAACATGTATACACTAACTACACTGAACTTAATAATCAAATCAATTTCTTTCTATTTTCACCGTTTTTATTTCTAAATGAATCAAAACCAAACTTAAGTTTTCGTGCGTTAGGATTTACAGCCGTCAAAAAATAAGGAGTATCATCTTTTCACTCTGAGAAAAACTCCCAACTATCGAATATCGATTTTGTTTCTCTCCATCCAACCTAAGTTTTTTTGTTGTTGTTGATTTGCCAGGTATTTTCCACCTCTCCTTACTTCTTACGACTAGCTGTGTTGGACCCAGTCATAATGCCAGATACTAAGTCATCTATTACAGATCATGATCAAATATTTGGTACAATAAAAAATGCAATCCCAAAAATTCTATTGAAACGCATGGGATGGGCATCATTCGCTTCACAATATAAAGATGATACTACCAACAAATGGATTACTGTTGATTTAACTGCTATTAGAAGTAAGCTAATCCAGCATGCAATTGACTGTGATGCTCCTAGTGATCTAATCGATTGTCTACGTTTATCACGTCCAATTATTGAACATTTAAAAGTGCCACACAGTGAACGTGCTCGAAATACTGGATATTTATTTAACAAGTTGCTGAGTATATGCCCGACACGTATTCGATCTAAAGCATTAGTTCGTCGTCACTTAGTCATAGCAGCTCATGTTATTTACCAGTTGGACAAAGCTAGAGGTTTATGGTCAGTAGACTGTAATACTAGTGGTCTTGATGAGGGCAAAGAGAGCAGAAAGTCGTTAGGAGATGAAAATAAACATAGTCATGAAGTTCTTAACGCTATTGATGATGGAGAAGAAGAGGGTGAAGAAGGTGGAACTACTGGACAAAAAGAGAAGCAAGACAAACAGGTGCTTATACTTAATAAATCATCCGAAACTACTGTTCATAGTCCAAGTTATCAAGGTCGAGTAACGGAAACGGACAAACTAGAGCAATCTATTGACCAAGAAGAAACAATGGGTAAGCATTTTCTTTTTTACTTTACCCACTGTTAATGACAAGAAATATAATAAAAATAAAAATGATAATGGAGACAGAAAGCATGCATGGATACTACTCTGCATATAAAAATCGAAATACATGTTGCCAAGACCAGTTTAATTTAACATCGGACTCGCCATTTAATATCTTCGAAATGAAGATTTAGCTTTTCATGTGCTAAACTTTCAAGAAATGTAAGGCTCTACGTTTGATAATATCCATACTGTTGTCTAGATAATGTTCCGAAGGTTAATCTTAGGACTAGTTTTTAGCATGTATATAAAAACAAATCTATGTAGGCATACAGGCGTCGGTTCGTAATAACAATAATGATGCAGATAGTTATTGATAGTATTTACAATTAGAACAGTGGATCGAATTAGTCGGGAAATGGGAGTGACTTCAAGATCACCCTTGCAACTGATAGAACACTCAGTCACGTTCTTCTATTCTATGAGAATTTGTCTTCGCCAAAACACCACAACCTGGTTGATTATTTTGGCAGTTTTTGGGGTGGCCTTTAAAGTCGCCGGGACATGGACAAATCAAAATTTTATTTGGGCTAACTGCGACAGTATCTAGACTGACAGATAACCTATCAATTATGAATGTCCTTCACGAGGCGAATCTAAATAGCACCCTAGCAACGACCAAATAACCAATGAGATTTCTCCATTTCGGCTGAAAAGGCAGATTTTCATAAAAAAGAGATCTAATTGGTTATTTCAGTTGTTGCTAGGCTGGTCTTTAAAGTCAGCCCTTTCATGCATCTCTTTTGCTTCTCATTCATTGACGTAATTAGGCCTCACACGCTTCATGGCCTTGCACATATCTCTATGTCTTGTGGATATACTTTCAGTTCCCATATCTGAATACATGTTTTACTCGTCGCGGTATTTCCTCTCTATTTATTAACGGGACCGGGAGACCAACTATGAAGTTACAGAACGTTATTAACTGACAGTCTGTATTCATGCATCAGTTAACAGCTATAAGATTTGGTGCGTTAACTGGACACATTGACAACAGCAATAAGTCAGGAGCCATAATAAAAGTTGGATCTTAACAAAAAAGGGTCAACTAAACTTTTCTTGGACATTCGTACCTACTCAGAAACAAAGATTATGCATATCTTTTACACAATGAGTTTTGTTTTCAGTTCATGAATAATCAAAGCCCCTGCTGTTTTAAGAAATTGAAAACGAAGTTTAGTTGGAAGATATAAAGGAATTCCATAAACTGTCTTGTACTTATCATTCACATCAGTTGAGTGGTGGAAAGTCAGTCATTTGTTGATAGTTTTCACTTTTTTGTTACTATACTGGAACTTATTCTTGGATATACGTGTTTGCAGCAGTCTCTGGTTAGGGTTGATGTACCTTGTACCGCAGAAGAAAGTGAACCAATAGGCGCAGATGGACGTATGGTGACAAGGCTTGTCTCATACACATAGAGATCAGTTTACACGCCATAAAGATCAACGAAGGTTTTGTTGTGAAGAATCTCTTGCAGTTTAATCTAGGAAGATAGTTTTAAACAACCATCTGATGCTGCATTACTTGTCAATTCGAAATTGATGCACCAAATCGTTTTAAAAGCAACTGAATTGATAGTTGGTTTCATATATCTTACACCATTTTATTGTTAAAACTACTTCTGTAACTGTTTTATCCAGTCGTGGTTCTAAGGAAAAAAAGTTGGTCCCCAGAAATCTGCGCTACAGTTATTTAGTATTCGATAGTTAATGAATAAGGTTTCTTTTTCTTTAAATGGATACTTAACTAGTAGGAATTAGTTACTTGTTCAGTGTGTGTAGGTTTTCTATTGATGGATCTGCTTAAAGGTAGGTGGTTACACTTCATGAGAATCGCGTCACCAGAAGGAACTCCTGGTTCTGGTTCCTACCAGGTGAGTTTTAAGTTGTTTACCTAACATATAACACGTAGATCAACATCGTCATCAATAATGGGAAATATATCATCCATGTATCTTTTTACCGTATGATTAAGCCAAGTGTTTTCAGTTTTGAAATAAAACAAACAACCTAGTGGTCTGATAACTGAAGTATTTTTCATTTTCGACCCAAAGTAATCTGTCATGAAGAGTTATAGTCTGGATTCTTTGCAGTTGGTTCTTCTTATATGTCAATTTCACTGTTGGAAATAAATCGAGAATTCTTTCCACTGGTTTGTTGGCAATTCTGTTTCTCAGTTATGCGAATCTATGTAGTCATATGTGACAAATAGTTATAGTGAATGGTCTGTTGGTGAACAGTAAGCTAGCATCTAATAGACTGGAATGCATAAAGAATAGATAGTGGAACATGTTTTCGAAATGGTTCCAATATTTAAGCTAATTGTTGGAGTGGTACAAGTATGAAGAGAACCTATCATATCCACAATCCGACAAAGTAATCCTACTACGTAGTCTATTTGTTGACTAGCAGTGGAAACTAGAATACGTGTTTCGTCCTATTTGAGATTCGTCAGCTGGATGTACCTGCACCCCAGTGATTGTTGTCTGCACTGAAACTCAAACCCAGTACGCATCACTTCAAATACACTGGGGCACGAGAGCCGCAGCTTTTGCTACGGATATCATTTATTGTTTTATTGATACTTGTAATTTCCTGTTTCTATACTGGGTCGACCTACTACTTTATGCAACTTCGGTAATCTATACATACGTGGAATCATATAAATCGAAGGTAATCAAGGCGTTATCCTTCATGTTTTTCAAGATACTTATGATTTGGTTCTCGATATATTATATTTTCCGTGTGTCACATGATTTCACAAAAGTGGTCTCATTCCAAGGGAATTAACAGTAATGTGTCAATGTATTCTTGACAAATGATCGAAACAACATCTTTATCACGATAGCTTTGGAATGATATCACTGTTGTTTGTCAACAATATGAACTGTTCAACCCAATATTTTATGGGAACAACTGAAATATCAATTAGGCTTCTTTATTTTATGAAAATCTGCCTTTCCAACCGGAACGCAGAAACCGAACTGGTTATTTGATCGGTGCTAGGGTGGCATTTAAAGTCGTTCAGTAATCAAGACTTGTGAATTTGAGATATCTGGACTCATATGATGATGTAAGAATAAGATGAAAAATCACGCTTGTTTATGGTATCTGTTCACTTTGGATACTCAGGTGAAAAAAATTTTCGACAGAGTAATAAAGCTTTCAGTTACATTATCGAAAAGGGATACAGAAGAATGATTAGATACACTTATTTATTGAGGTTATTCCGGAACTTACTATTTCGACTGTCCTCAGACGACAACTTGTGTCGTGTAGTTTTTAAACCTTTGGAACTTATGTGGTTTTCATATCGATTAGTCAGTTCCTTAGGATATTCATTCTGCTTCTTTTTTTCCAGCCGGTAGTTTAATTTTATTTCCTGACTTATCCCCTGTGCAAATCCGTTGGATTATAAAACTGTAAAATATTTTCTTTTATGAAATAATTCTTTAGTGTGTCGCTTATTGGTAATTTGACTTTTATTGATATATTCACCATCAACATCATCATCATCAGCAGCTTGACTGTAGAAGTTGATTTCTCGATTGATAGGATCCGGTCAGTACTTAGGACTAGACAATATGAAATTACCCAGCGGTCCGCTGGTTCGAATCCGACCACGGTCCAAATTCATATTTCACTTTCGATCATCACCTAGTATCGATACCAAACCACGGCTATCTCAGATAGTCAAAAAGATAATGAAATTATCATTCGATTAAGAAAGCCGTAGTCGGCAGACTAGTATTTTTACTGAATGATGATTGAAGGTGAAATAAAAATTTGGACCGCGGCTAGATTCGAACCAGCAACCACCAGGTTTCCAGCCCAGTGCTCTACCAACTGAGCTACGAGGTTCGACTCCTGATCAGATTTTTATTTCACTTCAATCATCATCCGCTATAGATAATGAAATTAGTTACTATCCAGTTACTACTAACCAATGTAAAATTTTGCTTTTATTCAAAGATTTTCACCTTGTAAACTGAATTATTTGTACACTTTGTTAAGTAGTTTCAAGTTTCAGTTAACAAATAAACAATGTGAAAGTATGTTTTTAAGCCCTATTGCAGTAGTCGGAGTGAAATTTATATAGGTTGAACGCATGATGCAGTCAGAGGTTATCTTTTTTATGGATTGTACAATTTTTAGTTTCAGTTTTACTACGTTCAATATAGTTTGTATATTTACTCATATTTTCTAGGTGAACAAATGGATGATTCAGAATTAAAGGATTCATTTCGTCAGAAGACACATCAATCTTCATTGGATGAGAAACAGTTAAATGATGTGTCAATGAATTCAAATGATCATGAAAATAAAAATCAGAACAGAAATAATACTAATCTGATTGATCCTGGTGATGATTTGATCAAGGCAGCTAATATATTGAATAATATCAAGACAATTAATCCTTTTCTACAAGGTTTAACAGATTTTCTTGTTGATGAAGGAAGTGCTGAAGAAGAGCTACTTTTAATGGGTAATTCTGTTGATTATGAAAACATTTTTTGAATGGATTCAACTTGCATTTTTTTTTAAAAAAAAATCCGTTTCACATAATGTTCACAGATACTAGATACGAATTATGGAACCTAAAGATCAATTTCATATTAGAATTAAAAATTACCTTGAATTGTTTCCTAGAAAGCACCAACGTTGCACAATGATAGCTCTCTGAAATATAGTGAAACATTTCTTCACTGTTCCTTGGCTTTCGTTGTGTTTTTCATCTGTTGATATCGACCCAGTGTATCATTTTACACATTCGTACATCTAATAGTGTATTGTCTTTCTGGTTTTGGTAAACAATATTGTTTAGAAATTTACTTATATACATTTTACTGTTTAATTTCGGTTGGGTTTCTGATATATCTAAGTTGTACATATATATGAGAGTAAACACTTGAACAATAGCCTACAAATTTCATCCTTGATTGTCGCTCATTTTCTTCGGTAAATAGAAAAGGCGGCAAGATAACCGAAGGTCTATTGCAACGTCAAAATATCTGCAAAATACAGCGGTTCATAAATATTGTAAATGACTTTGACCATTTCTCTGCTTTTTCAGCATACCATACCCTATTGATTTTATCTCTTCAACCAATCTATTATTTAGACATAGGTTTACCTGCCTCTTGTCGAAACTTCGCAGCAAAATGATTGGCTGCGGAAAGCTTCATGAATTTAGGACTTCTTCTGAGAATCTGGGCAATCTCATTGCATACTGTAACAGTTTTCTCATCAATTTTGATGAGGATTTAAACGACTTTTGGCCAGAAAGTTACATAAGGTTGGTATTCATCATGAAGTTACATCATTTGGAGAAACACTGGACACCTGAGAGTACTGAACAACCGTTTCATTGTGGTGTGGGACTCCTCAGCAGTGCACACCCATGGTTATGACCAGCACGTCACCTTTGAGCGATTGGGTCGGAATCCAATGATCCATATTATTTATAATCTGTTACTGACTTATATTGAACGTTACTACCATAAAAAATACTTACGTATTGTGTATTGGTATACTTTAACTGAGGATATACTGTATGCTAGTAGTGGATACAAATGACGGTGTTTGTATATTACAAAGTTAATTGCATCTCAATAAAATTGTAATCTTATTTCCTTTTTGCGTGTTCCAACTTTTTTGTTCTATCATTATTAACACAGAAAAAGCATAGTTTACTTCCTTAAATAATTTAGACAAAGTGGGAATGGAGTTACCGATTTCAGGGCTTATCGCAATCAATTTAATTTATTGTATAGAATGCACTCAGTCCTTAGGTCTTTAAAACGCCGAGCTTCTCTTGTCTACCTTAGTAAGTTGCATGTCATGTATCTTTTCAATTGCTTATAAAGTTGACAACATGCGTAAAGTATGCCTAGCTACCTCCTGTCTCGTCGCGCTATGTTGGTTGAAGTAGATTCAGGCTGAAAAAGGCTCTCAGCGGCCAGACTAAAGCATGACATTAATGCATGACTGTTCGTTTGCGACATGTAAGGCAATGCAAACTAGCCGGTTAGGGTCCACAAGACAAGAAAAACCAGTGGTTAGAGACTCTAGATGATATGGTCGAACAATCCGATCCAGTTAAACAATGGAGAATTACTAGCATATCAGTAAGTAATAATGAAGGTTTTTGATGTTACCCAATTGTCCCAGATAGAGTAGGTGGAGAGGAATTTGAACCTAGGATCCACTAATTGAAAGCAAAGAACTTAAACCAACAAGCCACAACCCCTTCTTTGTTTTCTGCTTTATTTTTTCTCAGTTGGTCCAATATAGAATGATTTAGTTTAGTGACCTTACCAATCAATCAATATCAACATAGGACCAGGCATTACTGCGTAACGGCCCGAGTTACCACACCTCATATCACTACATCAAGTAAAAAGGTAGCGAGATGCAAGGTGAAGATAAGAGAATGCAGTCAAAAGAAATATAAAGTACGAAAAGAAAGGAAAGAGGATTGACAAAATGGTGAGATTCGGTATAGTGTAGTTAAGATGAGGATAATGTGTGTATACATCTGCACCACTGACTTCGGTTATGAGCCATGGGATCACTTAGAGTCTCCAAACACTGGTTCCTCTTGTCCCGTGGACCCCAACCACCAAGTCTGCATCGTCCTACATGGCTTAAACCAACAGTCAGAGACTTCATACATTGATGCCATGTTTTAGTCTGGCCACCTCGAGCCTTTTTCCAGCCTCGATTCACCTCAGCCAACATTGTGTAACCTCGTCAACTGATTTACCTCTTCTCCCCAAAACTCTACACCTGACTTCTGCATTACTCACCTGGTGACACCACGGAATACGTCCTATACTACGAAGGCAACGGTGGTCAAACACTTGAAGCCTTCTTATATCTTCAACTTTCAATGGGCATGTTTCACATCCATATAGTAGAACAGAGCGGACTGCTGTGCAGTACACGTGACCTTTAATAGACAAACGGATATCACGGCGGCGCCATAGGTGGCGTAAAGTGGCAAAAGCCAATCGAGCCTTTTGTATCCGTGCAGAGATCTCATCAGCAACTAACCCACCAGGGTTGGTGGCCTTACCGCGATCATCTTAACCACCGAATTAAATCTAACGTATTTTGACCACCTCAATCTAGACACTGAGGTAGTTTCATTGCTATTCACCGCAAAGGCGTCGATGAAAGCTTCGAGTATATGAGTGGGTAGGTGTGTAGTCGATGAGTACCTTTCTCAAACTGTCTTTCATTTAGTGGTATAGTATACTTGACCTTGAAATACAGCCTCTCCAGTTTGCGGCTGTTTCATTCGTAATTCATTGTAGTACTAAGTGTGGTAACTTAAAACGATGGACCTGTGTTCGAGGTTCTGCATTGACTTTGTCAGTCAGTACTAAATATCACCATTATCATCGTTGTTTTTGCTATTATTTGACAGTATGTATTTTCTTTGGATTAAGATTCTCATGCTTCTTCTTTTGGTAATATTCCTTCTATACATCATAGGTGGTATGCAGTCTATCTCATTCCAACCATTAACTAATTCTCATGCTAGTCTACAATCATCATTACAGTTACAAAAATTTGATATCTCTTCAAGATTTTATGAATCTGATGATAGTGAATTATTGGTTGCATTAGATCGATTGATTTTATACTTGAGAATAGTTCATTCAGTGGATTTTTATGCACCAGCCTTGTATATGAATGAAGATTTAATGCCACATCCATGTCATCTTATGCATATTCGACCTAGTGTAAATGAGATCACTAAGGCTTTAGCAAAGATTAAAGGTCCAGAGAGAACAACCAGTGTAGAATCAGTTGATCAGGTAAGCGATCGTATTTTTAAAATATGCTTCTTGAGTGTAATTACACTTACATATTAAGAAAAATAGATTATTTTCTAGTGAAGTCATGCATAGTTTGATAAATTGGAAGTTCTTTTTAAATGTTCTGTATATATATATATATATATATATATATACTAAAAGAGAGAAAGGAAGAATGAGAAAATGCTGAGTTTCCGTATAGCGTCGTTAAGATGAGGATAATGTGTGAATACATCTGTGCAACTGACATCAGTTCTGAGCCATATCACATTGTGTGAAGTAGGTTCAGAGTGGAAAAAGGCTCAAGGCGGCCGGCTAAAACATGGCATCAATGTATGAAGTCTTTGACTATTGGGTTGAGACATGTAGGGTCCCGCGGGACAGGAGAAACCAGTCGTTCGAGACTCTAGGCGATATGACTCAGAACCGATGTCAGTTGCACAGATGTATACATACATTATCCTCATCTTAACGACGCTATACCGAATCTCACCATTTTCTCTTTCTTCCTTTCTCTCTTTTAGTACATTGTATTTGTTTTTGATTGAATTTTCTTTTCTTCATCTTCCACTTCACTGCCTTCTTACTTGATGTACTGATATGAGGTGTGGCAACTGGGATCGCTACGCAGTGTTGATGAAAGAAATCTCGATAGTGTTCTAGTTGCATCATTAGATGTTGACACAGATGTTTCAAACTGTTTAGGATTAACCAGTTACAAATTTACATCTTTACTATTGTTGTGTCACGAAAATTTGAACTTAACACTCATTAAATTATTGCCATATCTTAGTTGATGTTATATTGAAGTTTTTAAAAAAAAATGGAACACAGATTATTTAGCGAAGAAACCAGCTCTCGTCATCCGTTCTACACTAATATGTGTGTTTTAGATTTAATAACATAATAGTACGATTCAGTATATTATTATTATTTGTCCGTTGGGTTCCTAGTGGAACAAGGGCTTCACTAGCACGTCTCCACTTCACTCTGTTCTCTGCGGTCTTTTCAAACTGGCTCCACGACTGCCATAAGCTTGCATTTCTTCCTCACATGATCTCCTCCATGTCACGACGCCCAAATCGTCGCTTCCCTTTTGGATCCACTCGAGTACCAGGCGCGTGCTGTCTCCGAATGGTTTTCTCAGTATGTGCCCAATCCATCTCCACTTTCTTCTGCATATTTGTTGGGCGATGGGTTCTTGGTTGGTTTGTTGACAGTCAGAGCCCCTCCTTGCTTATTCTTTCTGGCTATCTGATCTTCAGTATCGAGCGTGGTGATCGGTTAATTAACTAAAGTGGAAGAAATATATTAATTGGTTATTGCGGAATAACTACTTCGTATTGTCCAGTTCTACATACTGACTGAGTTCTGTCGACCTCATGTTTGCAATTGGGTCATTAGTCTGTATGCATTTCTGTGGTGAATATCATATCTTATTGTCTACTTTTCAAACGTGATCGGCAGAATTTCGCCAGGATTAAAGACTAAACAATATGAAATTTATTTTCCAGTCTTGAATGACCAATTAATACACTTAATTCAGTCCCTTAAGATATCAATCGTGGTATAAACAGCTCTATGATAGGATTTCGTACGCCAGGACCGAGTGACAGTAGCATCAGTCTTTTTGAGCTTGTAGATACACCTCACTGACTAGTAGTGATAAGCACAACACGTAGATCAAGGGAGATCTCCTATCGACTTCTGTCAACCAACTGACAGCAATCAGTGCGACATCTGTTCGAATAACCCAAGTATCATTGCTTGTTGCTGTAAGAAAGGTTACTCACATATTTTACCTTTCTCAACATTAATTACTCACAATTTATTTGCATATCGGTGCTTGTGAATAAAAAGGTGATATTTCAAGAATAGGATTATCTGTTCATTCTTGAAATCAAACAAAATGTGTCCTATTTGCGTATAAGGTTTATACAGTGAACTCACAATGTGTGCCGATAGTATAACGTCGTAGTAACTTATAGCAGTTTCAATTTTAGTGTCTGAGGTAAGCCTATTGTGTGATGGTATGTGTTATTACTCAAATTGTTGCGGTTGTAATTTGCTTGAATCTGTAACCAACTTATTGGAGGTCAGAAATGCTGACCGTTGAATAACATGTATTTACCGAAAGCGTGATCAATAAGAGAGATGCTTTGTGAGCGGGATATAGGATATTCTGTATATATTTCAATCTTTAAGATTTAATTATCATTTGTCTATGTGAAATAGCTGTAGTTTGGCAGACTAGTATTTATGCTGGGTGATGATTGAAGGTACGATGAAAATCTGGACCGCGGCCAGATTCGAACCAGCCACCACTGGGTTACCGGCCCGGCGCTCTAACAACTGAGATACGAGGTCCGACTGCTGACCAAATTTTATTTCACTTCAGTCATCAAGGGTTTTGCCCGGCTACCATGTGAACTCGTGACGCGTTACTACCGCTTGATCGTATTCACACTGGCTGCCTAGCAGGGCTTCTCATCCCAATCCAAGTCTAACTGAATCAGAGGGGCTGAAGCATCATATTGATTGTCATTTGACTGTGTCTGAGATAGCCGTTGTTTGGCAGACTAGTATTTATAGTGGGTGATGATTCATAGTGAGATGAAATTCTGGACCGCGGCCGGATTCGAACCAGCGGTAGTTGGGCAAAACCGTTAGTGATTGAAGTGAAATCAAAATCTGACCAGCAGTCGAACCTAGTATCTCAGTTAGTGGGGCACCGGGCCGGTAACCCGGTAGTGGCTGGTTCGAACCCGGCCGCTGTCCAGATCTTCATTCACCTTCAATCATCACCCAGTTCAAAATTTAAGCTTATCTATTGCTAAAATATGACTAGCAAGTAAAATGTGGGTGCTGCTTAGACGTGCTATTTTGTTAGTTTTCACTAAAACTGTCGGCTATCAAAATGGCGTCTGTTGTTCTCTTTGACTGAGCATTTTACGTTCGTAAGGTGACTATCCTTGCTCTTAAGAAAGTTTGATTTCTTCTAAAAAAAATTAGAAGGTCCAGAAATGATTAAATTTCTACACTTATTATATCGATTGTACGGTTCAATATTTCGTTTAAAACACGATCTTGCATGGAAGGGAAAAAAAGTGCGAAATAGTTTATAACCAGTATGAGAACCCCAGCACTCATTGGGAGTTTTTAGTCCTTCAATCAACAAACAATAAATGACTTTGGATTTTAGCACTCATTAGTGATTATGTATACTTTATGAAAGGTGTTTATAAGATTTTCCCAAGTTTAAAATAGCTATCAAATTATGTGTTCAGAGATTTCTGGTGTTAGCATCTGGAATACACTTTCCATACTATTTCGAGACTCATCAGATAGATATATCTATAATCAGTGATGGTGATGCTCCTATGGGAACTTGGACCGAGTATTTATCATTTAAAACACCTAAATGTTACTCACTAGACTACTGAGACATGAAAGCCGACTTCAGTATGATGAGTGTCAGTTGTCATTTATTCATGCTTACAATTCTCTGTTGACTGATTATTTTAATAGACCGAATTAATCAACTTGTGTTTATATATGAATAAATGCTTCTAGTCAGTATCAAGTAGATAACACAAAAATAAAACTCGATACAATATGAAGGCATCATCTCAAGAAATCTATAAGTCAACATATATGCTAGTTGATTAAGTCAGATAAACAATCTATACGGAACAACTGCAAATATAAACCAATGAAAAGGATTACAGATTCTGTTTAGCATTCATACTTATAGTGTGCTATTCGATATTTCACGTGTTGTCGTGAATTTATATTTGAAATAACGAATTTTTAATTCACCCGATCCATCTTTCTTCACTTCGCAAATTGATTACTGTATTTTCTCATTTTATTGTTTTTATGTTTGATTCTTCTCTACCTTCTTTAGTTATTCGCCAGTCAGCTTAAACGTTTGGTACGATTAATTACTCCACTCACAGAGAATGATTGTAAAGGTTTAGGTTTTCGAAGTGTAGAGGAAGTTGTTGAAGATTTTATCAAACTTAATACACGCCGAAAGAAACGTAAAACGTATGTGTAAAGGCATATTTTGTATCATCACTAATTATCACTTTATTCTTTGTAAATAAAAGTTTCTTGATAGAATTTGAAACCCTGAAAGCACAGATCTTTTCCCTGTAAAAGAAGTAGGTTGTCGAAAGCTCTATATAGATTACCGTGTTTACTGAGAATAAGATTCGAAGAAGCCAAAATTCAGCCTTGTTAGGGAATCTGTTTATCACATCTCTACCTGTGAGCATTGTTCCATTAAAGATAGTACGTCACACTGTTGTTTTTGCGATTGTGTAACACGGCCCTCAGGGAAAAGTGTTTTAAGCACATATATCTTGCTGTTAAATGCTTTCCACTCAAACTCATATAGTCATGAGGGGGTGCAGAAAATGGATTACCATTTGAGGTATTACCGCGACACAAATGGCTATTCCTAGTTTAGTTTTGTCAGTCCTTGATTTCTCATTCAGAGGACCTTTGTTGTATTTATGGTATACAAAAGACAACTTCTTTGGAGAGAAAGCTAATGAGATTTTGAGGTCTATAAACATATGCGTGTAAGTCTAAGAATATTTGACATGCGTCAAATGATGTGTCGATTACAAATTGATGCGTATGCATTGATCTGCACTCCATGCTTATTTTAACATTTGGGAGTAACATGTTTCAAGATGTCCTTCATGAACCATACCCGAGTAATTGCAGTACTTTTTATTAACGTGTATACCAGCGTAGGTCACTTACGGCACTGTTGAAAGGACTGGGTTATGCATCAGCGATAAAGGTAGTACAGTGCAATAGTGCTCTTTTTGAATGCATGAAGTCGAATCAGTTTCACATCTTCAGTTAGGCTTATACTTGTGTAGAATACTTGTAAGTGAAATGCTTAAACCGATGAACCACCCACTCACGGTCGGATGATGTAAAAACTATAACTCTCTATAGTTTAAATTCTTCTTATCCTTTAGACTTAATTATATGTGGTATTGTGATTTATTTCTCTTGTTTAATTCCTCACTGAACATTATCATGTAGACCGACCAGTTAAAGAGAGCTGTACTTAACAAAAGTAAATGTTTCCCTATGAAGATTCATTTTTCACCAACATTTCTCTTTCAGTAGTAGTCATAGGTAAGGAGAGATAATACCTGTGCATAAGAGTAATGTGTTCAAGGGTTGAAGATTCTGTACTTGTTTTAACACTGAGATTAGGCGAAGATATGAATATTAATGTACTACAGTATTAGTTCCTTGCTGATGAGGTATTGAATACAATTCTTTAGGCGGCAACAGTATGGTCAAGTTTTGATCATTCTCTCGATAAAATGCCTGAACATTGCTAAGCGGTACTATTTTCACTTGGTTTGTAGTTCAGACTCTTCTCTCCTCTTCGTGACTTTTTTGAAACAATATAGTGAAACTGTGAAATAATAATCACTTAAAGCCTAACAATATGTCACCTTTTTTCCCTATTTACTAATGTTTAAGCGACGTGATATGGGTTTGTCCGCTGTCAAATAAAAAGTTTCGTGATCCAATCTATGTCAAGAAACATATTCTTAATAAGCATATGGATAAAATTGAAGCTATCAAGAAGGATAATGTGAGTTGTTTTGTGAAGATTTCTGTAATTCCTTACGATGTTGTCCTGATTGAAAGAATATCATCATTCTTGACCGTCCTTCTTTTGACTAACTTCATTTAACCATAACCAGGACTATTAACTGGTTACTAGTATGACTCATCAACCGCACCAAAATATCACAACGTGATAAAGAAAGAAAAGTGAATAGATAGCGATAAACAACTAGGAAGAAAAATAGTCACTTAATAGCTCATTCAATCAAGTTTACACTTCATTTTTCATTTCCCTCTCATTATTGTTATTATTGATTGGTCACTGGAGAGCAACCAATCTCTTATTGTCTAGTCGTGAGTGCAGACCGAATTTTGTCGGCACATTTTGTAATGTGACCATCTATCTAGGAGGCTCACCACTGCGGTGCACTTTGATGGATATTAGTTGGTTGGAGGTATATTGTTACGGAAAGTGAATGTATGTCAGTTACTCGCTGTTTTGTAACAAAGTAGTTAAGTTTTCAGGAAGAAATAAGAAATTTAGCACTAGTTTATCGAAGTTATGGACGTTGAAACCAATATATGTGGTAGCAATCTATGAGGTATTTGTGTGATTATTGTCGCGGACCTTATAGGGGAGTCTGAATTATCTTGTAAAGGTCTACGAGTAAACGGGTGTCGGTTGCTGGGGATTTTAAAGAACTATGACCAAGAATTCATAGTTGTATAAATTTTGCTTTCGTTTAGATGTATTCACTATATTGCTCTAGTTTAGATTTGTAGCTCACAGTTGTTTACTATTGTCAATGTAACTCTTTTAACTTCTATGTCTTGTTTTGTTGAGTTCACATATGTTTACTAGTGTTAAATATCATATTTTTAACTAAATCTCAGTTATACCAGATTCTATGTTGTTTGTTTTTGGGTCTATCCATCTTCTAATCTGTTGCATGAGAAATTCGTGTAATGAAAAGAAATAATATTCTTTTCAATGAATTCTCATCAGACTCTATCTACAATTATAAAATGGATCTGTACAACCAAGTTGAAGGCGGATACATTTTCGAGAGAGAGAGAGAGAGAGAGAGATTTAGGAACTGTAAGGAGATCGAGTTTTCCTTTTAAATTTTCTAGCGTTATGATGATATATATGTACAGATGAATAATATGATGGTGAACAAAAAGATAATGAATAGAGAAGACATAAATTGCCTTTAGTTTAATGCGAAGGCATATGGAGAGATAACGTATGAAAATGATCTTTCTGAATGCAAAGTTCATGTTTGATCAGTACTATTGCAACAGCCTCAGTCATGTTGAACAGGCATTGGCTAGCTATTCGTGGTGTTTTTTTTTTTGGAATACGATGTATGACATTGAAAACTTTATCAGCATCTATGTGAGATGCTATGATTGAACTTCTCACCACTTTCACTTCGCCTTTTCCGTACCAAGCTGGTAAATGCTCTCGTATCCGGGGTCTCACTCGCCTAATCGTACCCCTATGTAACTAGTTCCACAGGAACTGTTAAACTGATATATTCAGGATGAAGATTTAAGATTGGGTAGACAATCCTTTAGTATCGGATTGAGCATTGGCCGACTACTGAATGGTTTACAAAGCCGATCTGCATGAAATGTCCTACTGACTGCTCTAGCTAGATGTTGTGACAGAATGTCACTTGCGCATCTCACTTGAGTTGTAAGCGCAGAAACAAAGGCTCCTTCTCCACTGTTATCAGTTCTTGTTTAGGACCACTGTAGTTGATGTTAGCTTTGATGAACTTATCTGGATATCCGTTTTCACTTAGAATATCACGGATACACAATAGTTCTATACACTCCATAAAACAAATCGATATTACTCTGAATGCCAGGCACCTGATTATATTACCTTGGTGCTTCATTGAAACTGAGGTGTGTATATTGTGCCTTGGAAGTTGGTTTTCTTTGTATACTTTTCAGTATAGAGCCATCTTTTCGTATCATTAACACTTTTATATGGTAAAAATGTTCCTCTGAAAGGTCAACTTACCAGTATGGAGTTACGCTGTCGATGTATAGAAAACACTTTTTTAGTCTTTGATGTGTAGCTATTCATTGACTCTATTCTGAACTACTTCAACGGCGCTCATCCATCAGTTCATTTCACTAATGAAGATTAAACCATTGATTCGATACACTTTCTTGATATGTAATGCCAAGAAAAGATAGATCTATACTACAAAGTATATATAGAAAACCAACATCTAAGGCACAGTATGCACACTTCCTCAGCTTTGTACCGATCAAGCTTACACGTATTTAGAGTAAGACCAACTTGTTATGTGTAGCTAAGGATTTAGTGATATGATTTTTCTCCTCAGTATCATTATCATCTGGGATTTTTCCTGTTACCTATCATATCAACCGAATATTATCAGATATTTTTATCAGTTAGTTGTTAGGTTGTCGAACTAAATTCAGAAAATCATTTCAATCTTTGCTTTTTCAGGCATATTTCTTCAACAACTATCTTATGGATCCAGCACGACCTCAATTGCCTTCTGAACCTCGTTTTCCCCGGAAACGATCTCCATCTCCTTCACCATCGCGTGAAACGGTTAGAGAATCAAGTGGTCAAAATAACAGAGCTAATGAACGTGAACGTTCCGTTTCTTGGACTCAAGGTTCACAAAGATGGCAGCAGTATGGTCGTAGTCGTAATGATGGTGGCAACTTTGGAGGAAATTATGGACGTGATAATCTTCACAGTAGTGTGCCATACTATCCTCGACCATATGGTCGTCAACAGTATTCCAATTTTCGAATGCCATACGGTGGTGGTAATCAACGCAGTTATCATAATGGACCACGAATGGGTAATGGGTATAGTAACTTTAATAGGTTAGTGAATTATTTTATTCGTGATTTCTATTGACAGTTTTTATGATACCTTTCTAGGAATAGTTGTCTTTTATGAAGATAGGCAGATTAGAATGCACTTGTTCGTCACATAGTTGTCTGTTTTAACAGATTTTCCTTCTACTTCCATCGCTTCGCGATTTATACTACAATTATAGGCTAGTATTTTTAGTCACTCCTTAATTACGGTAAGTCTGTTGAATAAAGCAAGATGGAATCGATAGCGGACGCCTTCAAACAGACAAACAGATGAAGAGGTGAATCAAAGTAGATCGTTGTACAAAAATAGCGTTTGAGAATCAGAGCTAGTACCGTCAAACTGGTTTGCTTCACTGATCATTTCAGCGTTGAGAAGGGATGGAAGTCTTCCTGTGACAACCGTAGGGGAATTAGTCTGACTAATATGGTGTCCAAGCTCCTTGGGTCTATAGTAATCCGACGCCTAACTGAAGCTCGAGAACACCAAACTTGGAGAAACGAGGTGCGTCGATCAGATTTTCACCGTGGAACACAGACATGCTTACCGGCTAGTGGTCGACACTTGGCATATTTTTGACCTGAAGATGACATTTGACTCAGTCGATCGTGAGGTGTTTTGACATTGTCTGACTGTGAAGCGAGTACCGAGTAAGTATGTAACGCTAATCAAACCTATCTACTCGAACTCATGTGGTTGTGTAGGAGCTTAGGCAGAGTCGTCATGTGAATTGATGACGACTAGTGGTGTCCATCATGAATGCCCACTGTCACCATTCCTGTCAAACTTCGTTGTAGATGTATTATCAATGAACATAACCGTAGGTGCCTCTGCCTTCAGGGGATTGATTTACTCTCTGCAGGTTATCTTATTAACTTAAAGTATGCAGACAATATTGTCCTGCTTGATGAAGTCAGGGTCTTCCGAACGTGCTGAGTAGAAATCTGAGTGCAGCATTTCGCTGACACCTATTAAATTTAAAATGTTGCATTATGACTGGCCTGCTACCAAAACCCCCAGTTTATTGATAAGAAGTGAAGTGGTGAAATGTTTTGACCACTTCACTTACTTGGAAGGAGTTGCATCATCCGGAATGAGATGGTTGCTAACGAAATGTCAGCTCGGGTATAGAAGGCCCGTTTAGCATTCGCCAACTTGCGTCATCTGTGACACTGACTGGCTGGATATTCGACTACACATCAAAGAATGAGTATACTGCGCTGCAGTTCGTTTTGTCTTTTTGTACGACTGAGACGTAGTCATTAGGAGTAGACCGCATGAAGCGGTTACAGGGTTTAGATCAAAGGTGTCTTCGTAGCACTGCTCATGTTTGGCGAAATCACAGTGTGAACAATGTTGAAGTCAGGCGAAGAGTACTTGGGAAGTCGATTGACGAGGTGAATTTTAGTCGAGTGAGGTGGCTTGAACATTTATTGTGGATGCCGAGCCACCACCAACCTCGACGTTCCATGCTAGGGAAAGTTGGATTAGGTTGGGAGAGGGTTCACAGTGGCCAGACCAAGACATGATATCAGTTGAAGAAGTCTTTTACTGTCGGTTTGAGCCGTATGTGGAGATGTGGACTGCTTGGCTGGGGTTCCCAAGACGAAAGGAATCAGTGGTTGAGGATACTTGATGACATGGATGAAAATGGGTCACGATGGTGTAAATGTATTCACTCCTTTACATCTCAAGTTTGAATATTCCCACTAACCTTTATCTTCAGATAGTTCATACTCTCACACACAGCTCTATCTACTTTAATATCACTCCCTTTCTATCCACCTGTTGTTTGTATGCTACTGTGAAGTGTAGCAACTAGAGCCGATGCACCTGTGTGCGAGGTTCTACGCTGATTTTGTCAGTCATTAAATGTCTAAAGTGTTTTGTCTTAGTTTGGGATTGCTCAACAGCATGAACTCAAAATCTTCTGAGGAATTGATCTCAAGGCCTTAAGGTCCCATGACGAGCAATTTATCATCCAGTTACTACATTGGAACTCAAAGATCCGCCCTTTTTACAAATTATGTCAAATCGTTATACAGTGCGGTTGTCATCCATCAGTCGTCCCTCTTGATTTGGCTGATCTCATTGGTTACAGTTTGTTCTAAGAACTTCTAGATATCCATCTCAAATCAAATCATCAGTGAACACTAAATTGTATTTAAGTTTCTGAAATAAATCAGTCCTCATAAGTCCGTCAATTGAATTACGTTTACTTGTAGCAGTTGTAAACGACATGTATAAATTGAAATATTCTGTTGGTTACAATCGATAATAAATCTGTACAAATTACATATACTAGGTTATAGCAATTACCTTTTCATTTCTATGTTCTTATGTGATTGTTTTCTTTTCTAGACGTGGTTTTCCAAGGCGTTCTTATATTGATTTAGATGCACCTTAACACGGAGAATTTCAATGTTTCATAGTTTACAATCCATTATAACTGATTTGTACATATGTTCAATTGGAAGCAAAGTAGCGGCGAAAGTAACATGTCTTTTATTAAAAAGCTTGTGTTATTTTTTTTCTTAAACCTTGTAAATCATTAACATTAATAGTTCTAATTGCAAAAAGTCTTCTTATTTTACACAGCGAAAGTGATTTACGATTACATTTCATTGGATAGAAAGTGAATAGCATTGTTTCGAGAACCTGTTTCTTAAGCGTTGTAAAATTGTCGGCTACTTAGGTTGTATCACCTCAGTGGTAAAAATTAATAGTACTATTGGCGGAAATTTATTTAGCGTTTGCCCCAGCATTCTTTGTTCCCGCTATTCTATTTCCGGATTTTCGTTCAGCGTAGTTAATAGGCTCAGACATTAAGTTATGTCAATCATTGTGAGGTATTCCGCATACTATGAAAGTCTATTACAAGTATTTAGTTTTGCTGTAAGCCTAAAGAGTAGGCATGTATAACTATTCTGAAAAGTGCCGTTAAAGAAAAATTTTTAAACACCTTAAGAATAAATCACAAGCAGATACACATCTGTATAAAACTTTTTTGAACAGATTAGAATTCTTCATATATTCGAAAAAATGAAGAATCCATTTTTTTTGCGAGTTTTTTATAGATTCTGAAAGCCAACTTTTCAGTCATAGGAGGAAGCTGTATCATGATCGCTACTAGTTTTAATTCCGAACCGTATCTGCTATCGTCTGAAGTCGTTGATCTGCGTGCTCTTTCGTAACCCCATCCCAAGAATCGTAAGGCAGATATCCTTCATCGTGCGTCAGATACTGACCGGTAGTCACTTCAACGAGTTCCAGAACAAGCAAACACTAGATATTTTTGTAGCAGCTGGAATCGTATGCATAGCGTGTTATCTGAATGAAGAGTGAAATGCATTATACAACACTGTACACATTCGTACAGTCAGGAATGAGGGCTAGTGATACTACCTGGCTGCCTGAACCTCCGTAGGTGGAGCGATGTTCGAACCCTTGACCCACTGGTTAGAAGTCAACTCCTTAAACCAGTGAGCCAAAATATGTTCAAGCCACCGGTGTTTCAAAATAGCTGCACTCAGTGAACGACGATTTTCACCACACCCAGTCGTCAATATCAACATAGGACCAGGCATTACTGCGTAGCAAGGCAAGTCTTGAAGGGACTGAAGGTGACCCAGGTTGAAGTATATCACTCTGGCTTTCGATATATGGTTCGAAATCTCATCAGTGACACCAACATCACTCACATAGTTACCTCAGGCAAACAAATTCTTTGATAGCTTACCACAAAGGATGAGTGCAAGTGGCTTCTGCCTATCTTATAGGGGCACTTTGATGGTGCGGGGCACGTATCACTTATCGCTAACTGATTCAGTGCAGTCCTAGTAATGTGTATGCAATCATACGATATCATCTACGTGCACAAATTTGAAAAGTCTTCCACGTGGAAACAGCTGTATATTATATCTTCATCGGCTTCTTGAGGGTTTCATCGATGACGAGACCAAAGAGGAAGGAAGAAAGTGGGCAATATTGCCTGACCCCACTAGTAGTTTGGAGCATTGGAGAGGTGTGGTTGTATGCCCTCAATCTGCCTAAGGGAATTAGTACTGTTTTTATTTATCTCTGGTAGTGAGTGCTTTAGTAATTCAAGTGTAGCTGATCTATATTGTTCTCAATTATTCATGACTCTATAACATTTTACTATTTTCCTGTTAAAATCAGTGATTCGATGTTCGTTTTTGGGCTTTTGCAGAGATGAAGGATTTCGTTGAATTTCTAAGTAATCTTACTTTTAGGTAGGCGGTAACTTTGGAACATAAAGCTTATATTTTGAATGACAATAAATGCGTTCGCTTATTGTCCACTTATTTTAGTTAACCGTTACCAGATTAAAGTTCAAGTTCCTAGATGCTCTAGTTTGTTCGAGTGTGAGTTTAACTAGACTAGTGGCAAGTAATTCCCCAAAATCAATAACCTAGGGTTTGACGAGATTGAACAGTAATGCTGACCTTCATCGTTTTAACGGACTCGCTAAGCTGAAGGCACACAGTTAAGCACCCGTGCCATTTGGCCTGTCGTATTGCGTTGGCCGCTCATAAGCGGTCCTGTAGCCAGCTAGTCAGTGTTTTGGCACGATCTATCAAATATATTCCACCTCGCTGTTCTGTTGTGTTCTTTCTTGGTCTCGCACTCTTTGGTATATTACAATGTGCGAATAACTAGTGATTGGCCTCTGCATCTGTCATGTCCGCATAACATTAATTTCTAAATACGTTCACATTTATTCACAGGTGATAAAAGTTGTCATAACGAATGTGCTTTTGGTCACCTTCGCATAATAAAGTTACTTCGTATCAAAGGAAAAGGACGAGATAGGGTGTTTGGTACTGTAAACAGGTTTCTAACCATGAGTATTTATCTAAAAAAGACAGTAAACTCTCATTTCAAACAGTGGTGCATGTGGACTGTTGCATCTATTGGCAAAAAATGACCTGTAAATCTGTCTTGGTATCCAGGTGTTATGGGTTTCGATTGTTGATTGACCTGTCAGAAATGCATCTTACGTACTAAAGTTTAAGCAACCGGAAGGCAAACGTGATTAAGAGCCATTGTATCTCCTTTTAAATTATTTTACTAGCTGTCATTCAAATACTTCTCCTTAATTCACTCTTTTTTTTCTTATGAATAAAACACGAATCAGAAACTATGATCTAGTCGTCAGATCCATTTTTTCGTTTGATGACTGAAAACGGTTTAACTCACACTCATTTATATCAATACAGACTAAGTCATTCTGGAGGTTATAACCTGCAACTGACAGGTAATCTCTCGTTAAAATGTTGCCTTTGTATTGCAGTATGATACTAATACATCCTACATCTGTTATACATGAGTTAATACTTCAGTCATAAACTGTCCGAACAATTAGATTCTGTATTTGGGAGAAATCTTGGAGCAGCGTAACGTTCAGGACTCTTTACACTTGAGGTTAAAATTGTCTTTTGTTATGCAGTGCAATTATTGTAATATTTACCATAACCTACTGTCTACCTCATGCAACTTTATTGAACGTCCCCTGCAAATTATCTATTGTATTAATATTGCATTACTATGGAAATTAACTTTGGTTACGGGTATTGAAGGACACGATTAATTACTTTTTAAATTCTGTGGAACTTGTCTTCTTGTTGTTTTTTGTTCTTGAACATTTTTCTGGCGCCTGTTAGTTAGAATATTTTGGGACATAATCTAGTAAATCCTGGCCAAACCGAGTTGATATCTGCCTCTACCGTTGTACTCACTGCGAAATTTATTTAAAACAATTATCGTTACGCTGATAGGGTCGGAAAAAGTCAAAGGTTTTTTCATGTATAAGAAATTGACATGTCAGCAGTCGCAAAAGTATTGGTAAGAGGTCATATTACTTGTAAGATTTCATCCAGAAGCTCATCACACTCATGTATCTATCACTCCTGAAAGGTGAAAAGATTCAACTTTCTTGCCTTTAGTTTATAAATGGTTTTATTACCTAGTTAAACTAGTGCCAGGATATGACTCTTGTAAAATAATGTTTATGGTTATAAAGATAATGATGACATTCTGAGGTGCAAGTGTAAGTCTGACATTCTTCACCATTCTTTTCATAATATAAAGTTGGAAATGAGAAATAATGATACAATTTAAAAATTCCCATAATTCATTCAGAAGAAGGATTGTTTGAGCAGATTACCGTTTTCGGTAGTTTCCTGTTCAGGCGCAATGATTATAAATCCATGTGAATGTGTAAAACGCAGTAGCCAGTGTAAAGCATAATTTTAAACTATCTCGATATTGAAACAGTGTTATGGGTAAATCGAAATCAAATCCGGTGAAACAGTAGTCAGTCTAGTGTTAGTGTCGTAATTCAATCAATATGAACATAATAATCAAGATATAAGAAGGTAATATCTAGAGACAATGACTCATTTATATACATCTATCTGAGCTGTGAGTATGTGTCTGTTTGTTAACTTGGTAAGAACCTACATCCATTTAATCTGATCCCTATTTATCCACAGCACTAACGTTATCCTTTACATTGGTCATTGTATTTTATCTATTCTCATGCATTTATGAACTGTTAGAGGAAGTTGTTGAAAAACCAGTTGTTCTTTCAAGTAATAAATCATTCGGAAACTGATTAATATCAGGGTGACACCAACTGGCATGTTATTATAAAGCTGCAAAATATCAAAGAGTACGAGTATTTACTCTTTGTTTAGCTTCTGCTTGACTGTGTATTAGTGCTAACCTTCGACCTGAAAGAAGAATGAACGCAAGTACTCATATTTCTTAATAAACACATTATTGCTTAACCATATATTTACAATTCTGTGATCATCTCTATCTCATCAAGATTGAGAAGATTATTATTATTTGTCCCTTGGGTTCCTAATTGAACATAGGGCTTCAGTAGCACGTCTCCAGTGCACTCTATTCTCTGCAAACTTTTGAACCTGGTTCCACGACAGCCCATAAGCTCTCATTTCTTCCTCGCACGATCTCCATGTCGCCCTCGGACGCCCAACTCGTCGCTTCCTGTCTGGGTCCCACTTGAGGGCCTGACACGTGATGTCTCCAGTCGGTCTGCTCAGTGTATGCCCAATCCATCTCCACTTCCTGTTGCATATTTGTTGGGTGATAGGTTCTTGGTTGGTTCGTTGCCAGACTGAGTTCCTTGTTGCCTATTCTTATTATTCTGGCCATCTGAGCTTTAGTAACGAGGCCGTTGTTGATGAAGATCTGTGGTTTGTTGGAAATTGCTTTCGTAACGCGCCAAGTCTCTCAACCATATAGGAGCACTGACTTGACTGACGTTGGTGTTGAAAATCCTGATCTTGTTCTTTGTGCTGAGTGCAGAAGATCTCCACACTGGTTTCAGGCTTATGAACGCCAGTCTCTCTTTACCAA